TTAACGTTTTTAGTAACTAAAGCATATTTACAATGATTATACTTAGTATACCATATATTCCGATCTGACATACAACACTATCTTACCACTAAATACTACTGCCGCCACCGCTTGTCCAATAACTATTTATTTAATGTCTTCTACTCACACATTTCATAACTACAGATAAACACATTCAAACGTCATCCCTTCCCCCACACAAACTTGTCTAAAGGCAACGTATAATCTACAACCAGTTGATGGCAATCTTCACAGTTTGAGCCACCTAATATATTTGGGTAGTGGGCCTCTGTATATTTAGCAAAACTTGAAATAATTTGTTATAATATTCACAAGAAAAATCTTTATGAGTAAACAATTATCCGATGGATGGACTAGCAACAATAAGCAACTCGATGAGTACAAACAAGATCTACAATTAATGCATGTATTCTATTCGATTGTATTACTGATTGGGAGAGATGGACGTGGATCTTACAATAGTCACCGCATAATAGTTGAATCTATAAGTAGACTTTGCCATGTATGGTTATAGAATTTTGCTACATGCAAGAGCTCGGCGGATACCGAGTTTATTTTTGCTAGCTTTCTTATTTGACATAATAGTAACTCAGTGGTGCCTAAAAAAGTCTGTTTAAAGCCACATTAGCCACAACATACTAACTGGCTGTATATTATTGAACGTGACTCTTAATATTAACGACTATTACGAATTTATTCCACGATACCGTCACTAGTAAGTCACTTGAGTGCATGAGCGCTTTTGTCATCAATCACTATCAAAGAGATCAGCTTAATACACGTGGCTTATTAGATTTGTTAACAAGTTAAAATATTTTACTGCATGTGCTCCGAAACTTTATACTGATACTATTGTTTTTATTTACGGAAACAATTACGATATGATGCAACAACCAATATACAGCTTTTATACTTATAAGGTAGCAATTGACAATGTCAAGAAGTACAATGTGCTCATCCAACACATACATACATACATACATACATACATACATACATACATACATACATACATACATACATACATACATATATATATTCCAGACGCTACTCTCCATTGCACATGTGTCGCTTCACCCTCAAAAGCGCAAATACAACGTTATCTATACAGCATGCAACAGTTGCTACAACCCACAAACAAGTCCTCAAACGACGAACCCTTATTAACGCTCAACAACGACACAACCTATCAACAAAAAAGTTCGAACACAAAATCTTTCCTCGCGACAGGCCGTCAAAAATGCTTTTTTTCCAAGAGCAATACCATTAGCAAGAACAACAATGCTTGTAGAATTACAATGCCGTTTAATACGCAGTATGCATCGAGTAAGTTCCCAAATACCATTTCTCTTCCCACACATCTTTGTCCATACAGTTAATCCTACATAATGCTCTTCTAGAATTGCCAAACTATTTGTGGCAATTCCGTTCGACATGGAGCCAAATTTATTACAAAATAAATTAGATTTTATACAACAGAACCAAAATCCGTAAAGTTCGCAAACAAATGCAAAGACTCGGTGTGCAACAGGGGTATGACAAACATTAGTAGCATCCCCTTCTCCTTCTCCCACCTCAGTTGTGCCTTTCCCTTTTGATTGCAACACTAAAAAAGCCAATTTTTGAAAAAAAAAATAATTGTTTCTCCATTGTTGACTTTAATTAGCCTTTCACATGAAAAGTTTGATACTTGTTGCGACTGGTGGTGTATCACTTCAGGTTAAAGAAAGAACTGGAAAAATTGAGGTTAACCTCCATATGATTTTTGGATAATTTTTACAAATATTCACATCTGTAGACGTGAAAGAAAAAAACACGATCGTAACGGTTTATTGATTGTCGATGTATGCGTTTCTGCCCGGTTTTTTTGATCAGAAACAACTAATTGGCAAACCAGATGTCGGCTCGAGACGGAAAGCTCACGACTAACAATGCTTTTTGCGGAAAATTCATGCTTGTATATTTTGGTTTTATGCGTTGTCCCGATATCTGTCCCGAAGAGCTGAACAGGATGTTTGAAGTCATTGAGCGACTATCTAAGTATTTGGTGTGTTACCAGTAAGATCGATTTTGTCTAGTGTCGTTGGCTAAGTCTATACTCTTACGCTTGTCCAGACAATGGTAACGAAGTGGGTAAAGTAATACAAGTGGACTAAAATCTTATAAAAAATATCTCGTTATAAGAGCTTTTCGATATAAGAAGGACCCGATTACTTCTTATATGAAGAGCCACTTTTGTAGTTCCCATTTTCAATTCTTGTAATCCTCAGCGTGAACTGTAGAAGCAGTACGCGAATATCTGAAAGGTAGGTTTACGTAACAAGCTTCTAATTCCCAACGTAATTATCTTCCACACGTCGTTCTATTACTAACTTGTCTTGTTAAACATATATTCTTTCACAAAGATATGGTTGGTTTGATCAGCACGTTCGAACAAGTTGCCAAAGTTACCGCGTTTATTTCAGTCGGCCGTCTGATGTAAAAGAGGGAGAAGACTATATGGTTGATCATTCAATATTCTTTTATTTGATGGACGGCAATGGAAGCTCGTGGACGTGTTTGGAAAAAATATACAGTACGACAACGATAGCATGTTACTAATATACGTTACGTCTAATATTAAGATGACAAGTCAAGAGCAAAGCGCAACCGCGAGAAGCCGCGACTATCAAACGCTCGTGGCGAAAAGACTAAAGGATGCTGGAATCCTCGCCCGCGAAATTAGGTGAGTAATACTGAGCAGCTATTACACTCGAAGGCTGCCAGTCTGCATAAACATTCTTCCCTGGTTTCGACTGTTATGACGCAAATACTCGTATTATTTGCTTATTATTGTTACATTTGCTTTTATTATTATTAGACCCACACCAGGCGACGGCGGTGTGCAGAAGGATCCAACTTCCTCATCCAATACAAGTGATGCAACAGTGCGCAACTATTGCTAATTATCTATTAGTCGATACTATTATCGTGAGAATAACCGGACTATCGTTTATTTAGGCCCGGGAATGTGCAGGAGCTACTCCACCACCACTACTACGTCAGCGTCGCAGTAGTGGCTATCAAAATTTCTCTTCAGAAAACCTCGCGTATGTGTGTGCTCATTGATATTAGAGTTTAGATTATTAAATGAGGATATCTCTGCAACGACATAATATGTGGCTCAACTTCCGATAATTTGACTGTTTTAGGTGCATTTAAATAATGAAACTATTTTGTATACCATAAAATTTTTATCATTATCTCTACTGTACAATGTATGACAATCTAGCATTGGTCAGAAATATCAAGTATTCCATACATTACTGTTAAATTCATTCATTTCCTAACAACATCTAGAAGAAGTTACAAGAGAATTGTTAAAAATAATTTAATCCCGTGTTGCTTTGACTAAAATACCCTGGGTACTTTATTAGGGGGCATTTTGATAGGAGGAGGGTATACGTATATCTGTGTAAAGTACCCCTATCAAAATTTGTTACATCATGACAAGAGTCAACAGTACTATTCGCAGAGCGCGATTCAGTAATAAGGTACGTCGTTCTTGGTGTGTTCGGGATTAATAAATGAGCATTTAAGTGTTGTGGGGTATCAGTAGAGATGGACGGTAGCGAAGATGAGTTTTGTTTGATTACGATTGGGTAGAAGACGAATTTACAGTAGACGAGGATAAAGAAAATAGGAATGATATGCTTGACGTGACCAATGATATTGATGATGTTTATGAAGAGGATACCAATACAGTATTTGAGAATATGTGGTAGGCTGATAAGTTCTTATTACCTTTAACAATTCACACTCTCCTAAAATATTTTCTAGCACATTCGATATATTACAAATAAAATAAACATGAATAGTTTTATATGAGATTATCCGTTTATAACACCCGGGTATTTTACGCGATAATGTTGATTTTTTTCGAAAATAGTACCCGGGTCTTTTACAAAATTAGGTCTCAAAATTGCTTTGCGCGGGGGGGAAGGGTATTTAGTCAAAGCAATACAGTATTACAATTTTTCCTCAATGGTAAACGCTTGTCTCTTGCTGACATCCTAATTTGTCGTTAACCAATGATCGCTCTTCAATTTTCATAACAGTAAAGCTTTATTAAACATTAGCTGCTGAACATATTAATATTAATATAGTAGTTTTAATTGCTTAATATTATGTCAGAAAATTATCGTAATACGTACCAAGTTTCTTAACGTCACCGTGAAGACTGTTTTTCAATGTTCTGATCCAACTATGTACGAAATGTATTTAAGAAGGTACGCTGAACGCAAAATTGACCGCTCGGCTAACCAAGTGATGCGCCAATATGGTGGATAGTTGGGCTGGCAACAAGATAACCAGTCTCGTGAACTGCTTCAAATACACAGAGAGAGGAGGCTCGTAGTATGTATCAAGCAGAATACTAATTTTGAGACAATTTGGTTTAGGAAGTCAATAACATTTTATTGCTGTTTTGTATAGGACAGGATGTTGGAGAAAATATGTATGCTTCTTGAACAGGAGCTAACCTCCTTCCCTTATTGTATTGGGAGTGGAGAGAAGGCAGCGGATATAGTAGGTTTTTCTGAATAATCTAGAAAAGTAGGATGAGCACACTTACTAATATTTTTATTGATTTTAATAGGAAATTTTTGGTACTGGGGTAAAACTTGTGGTTGCGAAGGTATATGACATCATATTATTTCTTGTGTTTAATTCTTTTATTAGCATTAATACATATCTGGTAGAATGTGGGATGTTTATGGGGAATACATATAGTCTTACCAGTGGTGATGTTGTGGTGTGGATTGATGGACAGGAGGTGGCACCAGGACATCGAATGACCATTCGTCCTGGTAGGTTTGTGTTGACGTATGAGATTGGATATTATTATACATGTGAGTGAAGAAAATATGTTAAAGTGTTGATTGGATATGCTTTCTATAACAACGTTTTCTATCTGCAGATTACTTCAGAACACGTCTCATTGGATCGACGCCAGCCACAGCAATAGCGCAAGACTTCTCATTGTGCAAAAGCCATGTCGCTCTTTCATTCTATTTGTAATACTTTCATTTTTCAATTTCGCCAGTCACAAGCCAAAAGCATGGATTATTGTTGGAGAGTTTCAAGAATCCACTATAACTAATTTATCAGTAATCGGGGAATTGAGTTTTTCCACTCACCATACTCGCAATGATCTTTAATAGTAATATCACGGCAGTAATATGTGGGTAAAGGTGTGGGTGCGGAATTGACACCCGCCGTCAGCAGAGATTTGGATGGAACAACCGGAAGACGCCTCTATATCTAGACTGATAAATGTTGCAAGTGACCTGTTTATTATTTATTCCAATATACAACTAAAGTTTCCGAATTGATACTCACGGTGAACAGGTAATTTAGATTATTATTATCAGGATATGTGATAACATATAATAGTTTATGGTGCTATGTGAACATAGGGAAGAGGCGCAGCAAGGTTATCGGGGAAGAGAAAGGAAGACTGTTTGATACCATTGTCATATCATTGATGATAGGGATACATGATCTTATGAAACTGCTGAATTAATTCATTTGAGAGATGGGTATGTTATAAATGACTATTCAATTATGTATTAAATGTCAAAGTATTAAAGAACCCCAGCGCGATTACTTTTGTATTGCCAACAAAAAGATAACTGTTAGAATAATAATAATAATAATAATAATATGCTGCTGTGTACCCATAAATAATATATCCAACAGCGCCAGTCGAAGGAGTGTCACTGGACTTGCACAGATTTGCTTGCTGAAATGTCGGCATTTTGTTAACTCAACCATATTGACATACGTGGAAGCACATCGTATATAATTCAAACCTTTGAATGAAACTCGTATAACTGTAAATAAGCCGTTGAATTACAAGTTTATTCAAAAAAAAGTTTGAGTATCTAAATTATAAGAAATGCACGGTGTTAATATTGTAAATTGACTTTATTTGTACCAACATGTAACCA